AGTTGATTCTCTTCCTCCGGAGCGTCGCTCACAAGGACAGACCGGCGACATCTGCCGCATTCGCCATAAAGCGTCCAGCGGCGGCCCCCCTCGTACCACATGATCCTCCCCGACACCAAACCGGCAGATTGCGCTTTATCTTTAAGATCAGCAGCGCGCTGTGTGGGAATGTCGGCGGCGAGGGGTTTGATCTCTGGCAGCGGGAAGTGTAGAACGTTCCGGGGTGAATTATCCGGCCATTAAGAGGCCGGAAGGCGCGTCATGTGACCTCGCGCTCCGCACAGCTCGTCGGGACGGAGATGAGTTACGTGACGAGATCAGCGCGGAGATTCACCGGAACGCCGGAGCCGGGGAACGGGTGAATCTCCTGTACGTAGAATGAGTTGAAGGATTCTCATCGATGGAGATACAAACCAACATTTGGGGGGGGGAGGGGGACACACAGGAAGTGACCCCAGAGATTTGGGGGGGATATTGTGGGAGGGGGCCCAGGAGAAGGTCTGGAGGATCCCGTCCGCCGGGTGATACATTGTAGCGGATCGTCACCCACGCGGACATTTCTATCACATGTGTTATATCTCGGTGAATCTTTGATCAGTGGACCCCAAAAGTTGATCTCCAGTTTCGGGGTGTTCTCCGGATTGCGGCATTATCGCCAAATCATTGTTATTATTTCTACAAGTAACACTGATAAAAACTTTTTTCACTGACAATTTCTAGGGACCCCTCCCCCCTCGATGTAGCGGCGCCGAGGGGGGGCGCTCTGCCATATCACAGCCTTATAGACGATGGAGGGGGATGGGATCCATCATGGGTGGCATTAGTGGGAAGGGAGGGGGGGCTACACCCCGCTAATAAACACCCAGCAGTGTCGGGGTTAATAAAGGATGAGTGCGCCTCGTTCTGCCGGCCCAGCTGTCCCGACCAATGACGGCGATCCGAGCTGAAGGCAACGCGGCCGAAACCGGCACAGCCAGAAGGAGGGCCGAATGTGAGATCAGAGCCGATCCGAGGGCACCGCGATTAACCCCCTCACTGCCGGGCACCGCGATTAACCCCTTCACTGCCGGGCACCGCGATTAACCCCCTCACTGCCGGGCACCGCGATTACCCCCTTCACTGCCGGGCACCGCGATTAACCCCCTCACTGCCGGGCACCACGATTAACCCCTTCACTGCCGGGCACCGCGATTAACCCCCTCACTGCCGGGCACCACGATTAACCCCTTCACTGCCGGGCACCGCGATTAACCCCTTCACTGCCGGGCACCGCGATTAACCCCTTCACTGCCGGGCACCGCGATTAACCCCCTCACTGCCGGGCACCGCGATTAACCCCCTCACTGCCGAGCACCGCGATTAACCCCTTCACTGGTTGGCACAGCGATTAACCCCTTCACTGCCTGGCACCGCGATTAACCCCTTCACTGCCTGGCACCGCGATTAACCCCCTCACTGCCGAGCACCGCGATTAACCCCTTCACTGGTTGGCACCGCAATTAACCCCTTCACTGGTTGGCACCGCACCTGATGGCACAGCGATTAACCCCTTCACTGGCTGGCAGCGCGATTAACCCCTTCACTGGTTGGCACCGCGATTAACCCCTTCACTGGTTGGCACCGCAATTAACCCCTTCACTGGTTGGCACCGCACCAGAAGGCACGGCGATTAACCCCTTCACTGCCGGGCACCGCGATTAACCCCTTCACTGCTGGGCACCGCGATTAACCCCCTCACTGCCGAGCACCGCGATTAACCCCCTCACTGCCGAGCACCGCGATTAACCCCTTCACTGGTTGGCACAGCGATTAACCCCTTCACTGCCTGGCACCGCGATTAACCCCTTCACTGCCTGGCACCGCGATTAACCCCCTCACTGCCGAGCACCGCGATTAACCCCTTCACTGGTTGGCACCGCGATTAACCCCTTCACTGGTTGGCACCGCAATTAACCCCTTCACTGGTTGGCACCGCACCTGATGGCACAGCGATTAACCCCTTCACTGGCTGGCAGCGCGATTAACCCCTTCACTGGTTGGCACCGCGATTAACCCCTTCACTGGTTGGCACCGCAATTAACCCCTTCACTGGTTGGCACCGCACCAGAAGGCACGGCGATTAACCCCTTCACTGCCGGGCACCGCGATTAACCCCTTCACTGCTGGGCACCGCGATTAACCCCCTCACTGCCGAGCACCGCGATTAACCCCCTCACTGCCGAGCACCGCGATTAACCCCTTCACTGGTTGGCACAGCGATTAACCCCTTCACTGCCTGGCACCGCGATTAACCCCTTCACTGCCTGGCACCGCGATTAACCCCCTCACTGCCGAGCACCGCGATTAACCCCTTCACTGGTTGGCACCGCGATTAACCCCTTCACTGGTTGGCACCGCAATTAACCCCTTCACTGGTTGGCACCGCACCTGATGGCACAGCGATTAACCCCTTCACTGGCTGGCAGCGCGATTAACCCCTTCACTGGTTGGCACCGCGATTAACCCCTTCACTGGTTGGCACCGCAACTGATGGCACAGAGACATTGAGAGAAAATACCAGAGCAGAAGGAACCCAATTATACGCTCTGCCGCCAGGTCTGGGCACCGTATGAGGAGAGGGGGGCTGGGGGCACACGTGGAAAAAACATGCAATGGGACTTATGACTCCAAAGAGCAACAAAATGCTACAGATCACATCAACCAATCAGAAATCAGCTCACATCCGTGTAAACGAAATGAAAGTTGTGTTGTGATTGGTTGCTAGGGGTTACAGCTCGTCCCGATTCTGCGCCCGTTGTTATTATTGGAGATCAGTCATTGGGCAATGTATCCCATGTAACATCCATGACATCAGAGTGCACGGAAAGACACGCAATAATCCCTTCTCTCGCGGCTTTGTTGTAGGATATTTCTACAGAAAACTCTTCTTTCCTCATCACCATCCATGATCCCCGCGTGTCACTCTCAGACAGGAGGACGTACAGAGGATGCATATACCGGGGACACACCGCCCCCGTGTGGTGACACCGCGGAACTGCCGGCCAGATTCTGAGCTGAAGACACAATCTTATCATGAGTGAGAGCGCAGAGATACGAGTCATATGAAGAGGATGGAACATGTATGACATAAAGAGGATAGAACATGTATGACATAAAGAGGATAGAACATGTATGACATAAAGAGGATAGAACATGTATGATATGTATAAGATAGAACATGTATGACATGAAGAGGATAGAACATGTATGGTATGTATAAGATATAACATGTATGATGTGAATAGGATAGAACATGTATGATATGTATGGGGTAGAACATGTATGATATGAATAGGATAGAATATGTATGATATGTATGGGGTAGAACATGTATGATATGAATAGAATATAACATGTATGATGTGCATAGGATTGAACATGTATGATAAGAATAAGATATAACATGTATTGTATGAATAGGATAGAACATGTATGATATGTATAGGATTGAACATGTATGATATGTTATGAATAGGATTGAACATGTATGATATGAATAGGATTGAACATGTATGATATGATATGAATAGGATTGAACATGTATGATATGAATAGGATTGAACATGTATGATATGAATAGAACATGTATGATATGTATGGGATATAACATGTATATATGTATGGTATATATGTATGGGACAGAACATGTATGTTATGAATGGGATATAACATGTATGATGTGCATAGTATAGAACATGTATGATATGTAAAGGATTGAACATGTATGATATGAATAGGATAAAACCTGTATGGTATGTATAGGATAGAACATGTATGATATGAATAGAACATGTATGATATGCATAGGATATAACATGTATGATGTGCATAGGATTGAACATGTATGATAAGAATAAGATATAACATGTATTGTATGAATGGGATAGAACATGTATGATATGAATAGGATAGAACATGTATGATATGTATAGGATTGAACATGTATGGTATGAATAGAATTGAACATGTATGATATGTTATGAATAGGATTGAACATGTATGATATGATATGAATAGGATTGAACATGTATGATATGAATAGAACATGTATGATATGTATGGGATAGAACATGTATATATGTATGGGATAGAACATGTATATTATGAATAGAATTGAACATGTATGATATGAACAGGATAGAACATGTATGATCTGAATAGGATAAAACCTGTATGGTATGTATAGGATAGAACATGTATGATATGAATAGGATAGAACATGTATGACATGAATAGGATAGAACATGTATGATATGTATATGATAGAACATGTATGGTATGTATAGGATAGAACATGTATGATACGTATAGGATAAAACATGTATGATATGAATAGCATAGAACATGTATGATATGTATGGGATAGAATATGTATGATATGTATAGGATTGAACATGTATGATATTAATAGGATAGAACATGTATGATGTATAGGATAAAACACGTATGATATGAATAGCATAGAACATGTATGATATGTATGGGATAGAACATGTATAATATGTATAGGATAGAACATGTATGATATTAATATAATAGAACATGTATGATACAAATAGGATAGAACATGTATGATATGTATAGGATAGAACATGTCTGATATGAATAGGATTAAACATGTATGATGTGAATAAGCTAGAACATGCATGATATGTATGGGGTAGAACATGTATGATAAGAATATGATAGAACATGTATGGTATGTATAGGATAGAACATGTATAATATGAATAGGATAGAACATGTATGATTAACCCCTTCACTGGTTGGCACCGCGATTAACCCCTTCACTGGTTGGCACCGCACCTGATGGCACAGAGACATTGAGAGAAAATACCAGAGCAGAAGGAACCCAATTATACGCTCTGCCGCCAGGTCTGGGCACCGTATGAGGAGAGGGGGGCTGGGGGCACACGTGGAAAAAACATGCAATGGGACTTATGACTCCAAAGAGCAACAAAATGCTACAGATCACATCAACCAATCAGAAATCAGCTCACATCCGTGTAAACGAAATGAAAGTTGTGTTGTGATTGGTTGCTAGGGGTTACAGCTCGTCCCGATTCTGCGCCCGTTGTTATTATTGGAGATCAGTCATTGGGCAATGTATCCCATGTAACATCCATGACATCAGAGTGCACGGAAAGACACGCAATAATCCCTTCTCTCGCGGCTTTGTTGTAGGATATTTCTACAGAAAACTCTTCTTTCCTCATCACCATCCATGATCCCCGCGTGTCACTCTCAGACAGGAGGACGTACAGAGGATGCATATACCGGGGACACACCGCCCCCGTGTGGTGACACCGCGGAACTGCCGGCCAGATT